TTTGTTTATTACATATATTTCATATTATATAATTATTTGTTATAAACTATTTAACATAGCTGTTTGTATTAACCTATGAGCCAAATTTTGTATTTATATGTATGCTTAATTTTATTTATAATATATGTATAAATATATAGTATATTAATTATATATTATATAATATATTTCTATTTTTAATATATATATATTATACATATAAGTATTCTAACTTTTTCAAATGTATTGAATATGACTCAGATGTACAAATATATATCCTGCGATGAACGATATCCTGAATATTGATCAAGAAGTCTTTTTGCTTCAGCATGTACATTCTCATCTGCCGTTGTCAATGCAGGTTCCTTCAAGATATTATCAAGATAATTAATTGCACGTGAATACTGCTTTAAAGCAATGTGACACTTGCTAATAAATAATTTAATTTGCGGAGTATTATGTCCAAGTCTTGATGCTGTCTCGAAACAATCAAGCGCTTCATCATATGATGCACTTGGAATTTCGGAAAATAATGTTGCCGCTACCTACAAATATTTCAAGAAAATGAATCAGTTTACAAAAAAATATTTTAACACGGCAGTAGAATGTAATAATACTGTATTGAATCATAAGATGAACCTTTTTCTTAAGCCAATTTAAACTTGCTATTTCAAATTTAAATCTGCCAAGCAGATAATGTAATTCTTTATCATCTGGCTGCATTTCTAACGCCTTTAATACATAATTTTTAAAATGGACACCATTTTTTATTTGCTCTGCTGTCGATAAATAATCACCATTTAATCCTACTAGTATAGCATACCACTTGTACAAATCAGCATTTTGAATATAGAGAACTTTCTCACATTGTTCAATTCCTTTAATAATAAAATATTATTTGCTTTTGTGATGTTTTCAAACAAATCAATACTTTGTACGTACCTTCACGAATTATATTCTTTCTCGTGTCAGAATTGTCTGTAGCCTCTGCATATTTATAGCATATTTTTGCAAACCTCCATACTACATTTACATTATCATAATGAGATTTTACCAGTGTTTGTAACTTATAGTATGCCTGGATGTTGAAATCTCCACTTGCTTCCTTGTCAATCGTCTTAAGTATTAAATCCAATTGGTTCAGTTCCTTCGAGAGCCTGTATTACTGAACATATAATCTCTTCCTTTTACATTTTTAAAATAATTTTACTTGCCAAAATGATTAAACTCTAATTTTTCCAAAGTACTATTAGATAATTTTGTTTAAATCGCAAAGTAAATGACGTAAGTGGAATGTTCTTAAGATGTTTCTTGAGAAAGCTGATTCATATGTTTACTAAAATCAATTGAAAATTCTCATGTGTTATTCAAAAGAATATAACACATTTATATTATTTCAATACACATTTTAATACCAACCTTATATCATTTTCAGCAGCGATACTTTCGCTGTCTGAACAGTCATAAAATTCATCGGCTCCAATGTCTGTGTCTGCTGTCGAAAAAACATCGATGTCAGTTTCATTATCCGTTGCAGTATATGTGCTATCGTTAGATGTAAATTTCTGTGAAACTTTTTGTTTCTTCTTTTGTTGACTGCGTCTTAAATATAATAAATAAAGTGAGTACTTCGATTTGTAAAATTCTTACAGAATTACAAATGTCGATTAAGACATTTACATATTTTCAAAATACATTACTACCTTACATACTCTAACTCTTCTTGCAATTCAGCAATTCTTGCCTCAGCACCTTTCAAATTTGAATGGTATTGATTTTCTAAAATTTTATGATAAATAAATATACTAGCTGCACTGACAACACCAACAGTTAGACCAATAGCAGCAGGAATGAAGCTGCCACTTTGTAAATGGTTCATGATGCTACAAACAAAATTATTCGAGTAAAGTACACATGCATAAGAACAGGTTGTAGTCACAAATTACTCTCTTCCTACCGAAGTGAAACACATACATATTTAAGAAAGTAACGTTGCGGATCTACAATCGAACTAAATGCATCAATGTACCGTTGTAGCCGATATTTTTTCATAAGCTATTCTCACAGTTATTAATTGTCGAAAACATAGTAACCGGGCGCAAAGGATAACAGCTGAATTATTTAATATTATCTAAAAAATATTTCTCCCTCACTTATGAATAAAAAATAAGGCTTTCTGCCTTTTCAGAAGGAAATAAAAGGTTAAATTCACAAGACGTATGACATGTCGTGTACCGGCAACTAAAAAAGAAATATGATTCGGCACATTGTAGATACGTATATACAGTCATACAGCAATGTATTATATGTGTGTATGATGTATGTACAGTAATGAGTCCTACTCCTGTCACATCGAGACCGCAGCTCGATTCGTTAACGAGGGTCCATGCAGAAATTTTCTTTGCTCTGATTGACTGACGATTCGAATGCTGACAGAATCCACTACTGTTTGAATGCGCAGTAAAATGGTGGGGATGTTTGTGACAGCTAAGGGAGGTAGGAAAATCGCGAAATCCCGGAGATATTACGGTATAGCAGACCTCCTAGTATCCTGACCGTTCGTGGAGCGTCCGCTAGCGAGTATAGCAGTAGAAATTGCTTTTCTCTGATTGGCTGACAATTCACGGTTGAACAGTGCTGCCCTCACAGTCGAAAATAGAGAGGGTAAACGGCGAGTAAGCAAGATAGCATGACGTCGGACGAATACATGCGAACAAGCCTCATCGATATGATCTCACTCTTTCCGCGCATGCGTTCAGTTGACGCTCCATCTGTGCAATGCGGCGCGAAATTCGATGTATAAAAAGGGTTCCGAATAATGGAATCAGTCGCCTTGTAAGATTTACGACCGAAGCATTTACGAATGACGATAATGCTTTTTATAACTCTTTTTAACTTACCCGTAAATTCAAAAATGGAACTTTATCAATTACAAAATAATCACACACATAAATGCTGTATTATGAAGCAGCTTATTATTCAATTTTAAATATTCATTTTCTGCAGAATCAATTGGCGGTATCTCATACTAAAAGATTATTTATATTTATGATTGTAATTTTCAAATATTGAAAATGCCTTCTCAATTTTAAAGTTACAGCTTTCATATGAATTAACTGCTTAGAAGTTACAACAATTGCGTAATGCAAGTTTAAAAAATTCAAAATTTCAAGGAAAACGTAAAATATCTGTCAATTATATATCATTATTATATCATCATTATATATCAATTTGTAGTATATATATGTCATATATTTAATTATTGTTGAGCGTGGTGAATAAGTACAGCATTTGTTCGTAATTGATGAAGTTCCATTTCTAAATTTGTCGGTAAGTTGAAAAAAGTAACTCTATTATATAATAAAAAGCATTATCCAAACTAAGCGCGCAGGTGAATTTTCGAGCAGTTAATTAGTGCTAAAGTCGAACTAAGAAGAAACATTCAAGGGAAGTCTGGCTTTGCAGTCAGCATTTGCTACAACGCTGGAAAAGGTTCTCATCTTCTTTTTAAAACTCGATGCGCACCGTATGTTGCTTGACGAGTTTCGTCGAGCCACAGCGAACCAGCAAAACCCGAGCATCAGGCAATCTCTCTACTCATCTCTGGTATTAATCAAGAGCTACGAAGCTACATTATCTTCATCATTATCGGATGAAATAAAAGAGTTAATTTTTGTATACCGAATAAGTTTTACGACTACGCCTGGTTTTAATGTACACACGTTGTGGACCACTGTCACTGTAACCTCATTAAAAACTGCCACATATATGTGACACTAGGCTGTGCATACATACGCAGAATTTAATTTTCTGTGAAATCTACTTGAGATATTTTTTGTAATTTTCTTCATTTTTAAAATCTTGAATCAGTTCTTGTAAAATCTAAAGTTCCGTTAAAATCCGTTCAAGCGTACAAACGTGATGAAAACGAAGCCTCCTTGTAATATTTTAATATAGTACAAATTTTGGCCACAATTTTTTTTCATTTTAATCGGAAAGTGGAGATATCTATGTATGTTTTGAGAAGCAGAAAAATCGCATATGGCGGCTCACGCCGTTCGCCGTCGCGGCTGGAAGCTTAGCGTTTCAAGAGTGGGAGAGAAAGACTTCGCCTTCGCCTTCTCTCTCTCTCTCTCGACTCCCGAAGTTGTTACCGAAATTATCCGAAGCGTCGAACTCGCGTTCGTTCGGATTATGAGCTGGGGTAGGGTAATGCGTAGCGGCGTTAATTCTTGACACTCCCGTCTTCGATTTAGCGTTACTGAGATAGGCTGCGAACTGACGCCAAGCTATCGAAAGTTCATCACTCCACCGCGGGCGGCGCTGAGGTAGGAACAGTTCTAGCTTGCACCATGGTTCATAGACACTTTACCGCGTGCGATTCAAATCATATAGGTTTTCTTCGTTTCTACAAATTCTCATACTACTTCTATAATAGCTTGTTTTTTTTTCTTTTCTCATTTCTATTTGTAATATCCCGAACAATTAGGTTCTTAGTTTTTATTCTACCTCGTAAAAGCATATTTCTATTTCTAGATCTCTATTTACTTTTACAAATCTCTATTTCTAGGTTATGAAATACTACTGTTTCTAGCTTTGGCTTCGTAGTTCTTATGATTTATTATTATTCGATATTATATTATATATATATATATATGATATTATATATATTATTTATTATTATTCGATATTATCGAAATCTTCAATTATTTGATGGCAATTTCGAGGAGAAGCTAAACAATTAAATTTAATGCGAAATTATAGTCATTAGCTTATTTATTGGTTGAATTTCGCGCGCTATGTTCTCCAATACAGTGATAACCAAGTTTCTGCAAGACACTCAGGCCGCAGCGCACTCTGTTAGCGAGAATAGGAGTAGAAATTGCTTCACTCCGATTGGTTGTTGATTCAATGTTAAGACAGGATTCGCTGCGGATTGGATGTGCAGTAAAATGATGTTGCAAAAATAAGGGAGATAAAAAAAAATCGTGCAAAAACCGGACAATCGTACTACTGTACCGTACATACATTTTTTCCAAATTTTAAGAAGCCACCGAAAGGAGGAGAATGGACGTAAACTCTTACGGGCAAATTACACGGTTAAAACTTGGCGCAGTGTTCCTTTTTTATCGAAAGATTTGTTATACGTTAAAAATACTACAGGAGTAG